TCTTGCCCTTTCATCTTAAGTCATCTGAACTCCACCTTTCCTATAGAAAGGGGCAGGATTAAGGTACTGCTCTCCTGAGCCCAGCAAAGGTAACTTGTCCCAGTGACAAACTGAGTTGATGTTTATTGATTGAAAGTGTGACACAAAATCTGAAACTGCTTTCAGTTTCTATTAATGGTGCCCCATTAATTTTAGATGAGGATGAATTTGTAGATTTTACTTAATAGATTTTTTCCATCATATACACTTAATTAGAACAAATAAATTAAAAAATAGATTTTTAGCTTAAAAATAATCATATTAACTGCACTTGAAAAATCCATTTAAATGACAAAAAAAATAATAATAGTGAGTCAAATTATTTTTCTTGTAAAGTCACTTCCACACAGCCAGTCTGAAATGATTCCATCCTACACGAAGCAAGGAAATACCCCCCACAAAGAGCAAGTGCTGTGAGTCTCCTGCTGCCTGGAGGAGTTTCAGACCAAAACAAAGGCCAACTCTAACTTCAGACCACGCTATAAGGCTAGCTGACCAATAAGGACTCCCTTTGATTTAGTGAGAAGAGTTTCCAGCATCCAGACCCAAGAGACACATTGCTTAACATTGTCATGTAGATCTGGAACTCAAAAATGAGCCCCAAGGCTGTGAATTTAAAAAAAAATAATGGAAAGCAATGCAGAGAAAATTGGAAGCCAAGAACACTAGACCACGTGTAAAGCCCTCAGAATTTCTTCTTTTAAGTAGCACTATTCCAATTTTCATCCTTTATAGATTTGGAAATTCATGTAAGATTCTTCTATGAAACAAATTTGTTCTGAAAATTTTCAAAATATTAAAAAGTTGCCATACTTCAAAGAAGCTAGCCATCACTGACTCCCATCTCCACCCCTGCCTCTTCCTTAGACATTCAGAAGATTCATCTTACTTGACAGGAGCTAGCCTTGGCTCCATATTTGAATTAAAATACTATCTGCCAAAGGAATCGTGCAATTTTCAGGCATTTTGCTAGTACATCTTTGATCACTCTTGTTTTCAAAATCCTGTCTTCTCTCCTCATATTCAGAAAAAAAACCCTCTTTGTAATGTAATGAATTAAGCAGTTTTAATAAAAACTTGAAGAAAAATGTGCAAGGTAGTAGGGATAAAATGAAAGGGCATGTTGGGAGGGATTGACTTCACAACCAGGCATTAGTCACTGAACACACCAGTCAGCAGAACCTATGTAAGAGCATCATTTGGGGCAGTGGTGACACCCAACGGCATCAGTTTAAATGTCTCTAGATCTTTGTGACATAGTAGTAAACTCAAAATGGTAAAAAGTAAAATAGTTTATCATTTCTATAACAAGAAGGTTGGTGTGGGTTCATCTGGCAGCTCAACTCCATCAGAAACCTCTTCTCAGGTTTTACTGAGAGTTCATTCAATCGACTTTTGTGCTCAGGCTGGTCTTTGCAGAGGCACAAATGGCTGCAGCAGTTCCAGCATTAATTTTGACCCAGCACTGGCTTAGAATATTGACACATGTGGGTAACTTGCTCTCCCCTCTTAAGGAGGCCTCTCCCAGTAACCCCCAACTAATTTCCTATAATGGCCTATTGGCTAGAATAGTATCTTATGTCAATTCTTAAACCAATCACCTAGGCAGGAAAAGGAAATTATTATGACCAATTTAAACCAACTATGACTCACCCCCTTCTGAGGCTCATGGCTACCTAGTACCTAAATAAAATCAGGGTTTTATTAGGAAGGTAGATGGTGGAGGGCCTTTGTTGGTTGGTAGGTGCAGTACCTACCGTATCTTCCATGAGGTCACATATCCTTTGGGAGGATTAGCTTGAAACAGGTCTATGTTCACTTCTGAGGGTTTTGAGCAGGGAAATAATGAACAAATAAATATAATTAGGATGCAAAAATTTTGCAGCCTTTTATTCTGAAATCATAGTTTTTATTTCTTAATATTTACATTATTAAACATATTATCCTTTATTGAATCAATGTCTACTGAACCATGCTGTTCCACATGTAAGGATAGGAGCTGAGCAAGATGGCCAGGCTTCTTGTCTTCCAGGGAGTTTACATTCTACTGGGGAAATCCGACGTACAAAATTTCTGGTTTGGCTCTATTAATAAGGGAAAAAAACAGAGGAGGGGGAGGGGGAGGGACTTTGGGAAGGCAGCAGCGTGGAGGTATGCAAATTGGCTGGCCAAGGAGATTCTTGAGATGATACTTGAGCCATAACCAGAAGGAAAAGAGGGAACCTGCCATGGGGAAATGAAAGTGGAGACTCCAAAGCTGAGAAAGCAAGTGCAAAGCTCCCAAGAAGAGTAATGTTGGCATGTTCGAGCCATAAAAACCTGGACTACAGTAAGACTGGGCTGAAGACAAGGCTGGCCTGGGTCAGGAAAGGATTTCTTAAACACACACACACACACACACACACACACACACACACACACACATGCTAAAATTCAGGCAGGGAAAGGACAGGGACCAGGTCAAGGAGGGCTTTTCAGCCATGACACAAGTTTATATGTCATTTCAAATGAAATGGGAAACAGATTTTCAACAGGGAAGAAGCCTTCTAAATTTCAGTTTTTAGAAGCTGTCTTAGGCTTATGTGTCATAAAAGAGACAGGACAGGGAGCAGGCAGCTGTTCCAAGGCAAAGGCAGCAGTTTAGGTATAATATGGTCCTCAGAGTTGGGTGAGGACAGATTTCACAAGATGCTTCCGGCAGTGGAGATTACAGGGTTTGGGACTTAATTGTCAAGGGTTTAGAAAAATTCAACAGCAAGACAGATTCTCTACTTGGAAAGTCTGCTAGGCCAGTGCTTCAGTGAGCACATGGACTCTCTGGGGAGCTTGTTAGATTGTAGATTGATTCAGTCTGTCTGGGCTAGGGTCTGAGAGTCTGCAGTTCTAACAAGTTTCCAGGTAATGCCAAAGCTTCTGGTCTGGCCACCACACTTGGAATAACAGGATGCTAGCAAAATATGACCTCAATTTGCATTTTCAGTTGTATTTTTTACTGTCTCTACATACCACATGCTCCAGACTGGTGTTCCAGTATGGCAATCTTGTGGTACTACTTCAAATAAACTAAAATGAGATGGTTACTATGTTTCATGTTCAAGAGCCACCTGTACCTAGTAGCTAACACACCAGTTAGTGCATATATAGAGAACTTTTTATCAAATAAGTTTTATTGTTCAGTGCTGCTTCAGAGGAAACTATTTCTAGTTTCCTAGGTTGTGCCAGACATGTTACCATGTTTTCCTCATCCTCATCTTTAATGGGGAACATTCCTCTATCTTTCCTGAAACTCAAATGAGGTGTGTTCTCTACTTCCTTTAAATCTGCCAGCCACATTGGGTTTCCCTCTGTGATGTATATCAACTGCACTTTCTTATCATCCACAGAATATTGGTACCTAAATCCCATTTCTCTACCTGTAGAACCCCGTTTTACTTGGATTGAGAGTAGGGCATTACTTCTCACCCATTTGTCCATATTATTCAGTTCAACCTAACTCTACAGGTTAGCATAATCATGAGCACATGAGCCAGCTGAGCGCCCAGGTCACAGAACATTTGATAAAATTATTAAATGCTTTCCCCACAAGGATCTCTAAGATGGCTGGATGTGAGTCTGGATCTTCTGGTAGCCATCCTGTCATCAAATGGGCAGACCTCGCCAGAGGATGAGCACAACCAAGAAATAAAGACAGATCCTGGATAACATCACACACTTGGCTAGATAGCTGAATTTTGGGAACACTAGTTACTAGATACTGGGGACAAGTTCCTTTTCTTTCTTTTTTTTTTTTTGGTATCAGGGATTGCTTAGGGGTGCTAAGCCACTGAGCCACATTCGCAGCTTCCCAGCCTTTTTATTTTAACACAGAGTCTCACTGAGTTACTTAGGGCCTTGCTAAGTTGCTGAGGCTGGCTTTCAACTTGTGATCCTCCTGCCTCAGCCTCTGGAGTTGCTGGGATTACAGGCATGCAACAAATTCCTGTTTTTTCTTTAGTTGTACCAATGAACTCTTGTTCACTACAATGTCTTTAAGACATCTGCATTCTACTTTGACATATAGGACTACCAACATGATACTTGATAACATACTCCCTTTTGATCCAACCATTTACAATCACAATTGCCCTTGGTTGCTTTCATATCACAGGTCTGTGTGATGCATTGTGAATGAACATAAGCCCATCTAAACTAAAACAATTTTCACCAATTTTAATATTATAATTATATTGATACTGAAATTTTTTGGAGCTAAACTTAGTTTTCATTGTTTCCCAATAAAATCTAGTTTTATTAATTTCGCTAGATTTTCTGCATATGCATATTATAAATTGATTAATCTCTACTGCCCAAGTCACCCAAGACAAGTCCAAACTTCCTAGGTAGCATGTATCATTTACCTGGTTAATCCACAGGATTATCTGCTATTTACTCTCGCCTACCTCCTAGCTTTGAAGGAACCCCCTTAAAGCCACTATAGCTGTGCTCTAGCCTGGGCCAGCAGGCTGGGGCTGGGGCTGGGGGTGCCTCCCAGATCTCACTCCTCCTGCCTGCTCTACACTCTGAATCAACCCACATGGACCATTTTAGCTTTATCTTTGGCTCGCAGACTCATCATCTTTGTCTTGCTCACACTGCATGTAGAATCTGACAACAATCTCTCCACCTCCTAAGTGGCTCAAGAGTGGTCTATGGGCATAGCCGCTGGGACAGTTCCTAGACTCCAACCCAAAGATGCCCCCAAAACCCGACACAAAACTCATCACCACCCATCTGTCACCTGTTCTCTAGAACTGCCTTTTCTAACCAGAACTGGGCTGATGAAGGGATAATTATTTCATGAAAGAACAAAGAATGGGCTTTCACTACCTTATCCCCTAATCCTGTCACATTTTAACATTTAATTAAACATTTTAATATATCGGTTTACAAACTAGGATTAAGAACCACTCTAGAGGACCATGCACAGGATAAGATTATCTTTTATTAGAGATCTTATATTACATATTCCCAAAAAGATATAAAATCTTCCAAGAGAAAATATCAAAACCTGTTGATTCCAAGGTGAACAAAATAATCAAAATGAAAGTAAACATTTTCTTCTGGACAGAGGAATGTGGAAACATTTCAGCACAAGTACAACAAAGACATGGGAAGAGAATTATGATGTTTTACAGCATTTTGTTTTAATCAGTATTTGTAGAAAAGAAAGATGCTGAGTTCTCCATCAGTGCAGTTATAACCCCAAATTAAACTTTCAAAGAAAGGGGAGGGTGGGGAGAAAGCAGTGAATACTTGGTCAACTGAACAACTGTGATAATGAATGTTAAAAAACCCAATCAAGCAAATATCCACCAAGAACACAACTGAAGTGTATGGTTTGAAGTGTGTGCTGGAGACACTAAAATTATTCAGTCAGTTCTTGACCACAACCCAAAGCAAAAGCATCCTCTCATTTCCCTGATGATGTATTCTAAAAAGAACTTTAAAAAGCAGAAACTTGCTGGTTAGAGAGAATTTCCGCTTCACCTGTGAAGAGCTGGTGGCAACACACACTGAATAAAAACCCCGACTAACATGGGACAGATCCATCTCAAACACCCAAAAGTGGCAATGCCACTGTTATTGCATCAGATTTTTTATTTCATCTGATCAGAAATTCCAGAGTGATAAAGCACACCCACTTAACCACAGAACACAGTGAACTCCCATAGGAAGGTATACATTAAAGATGCAATAAAAATACTGATCTCTCCTGGGATGTGCTTCTGGCAATCCTGACGTCTATAGATGTCCACAAAACTAAGTGGTTTTTGTTGTTGTTTTCCAGTTGTTTGTTCCTCCCCCAAACTAGGAAGAAAACTTATAGTACATATTTATTGCATGAAATTACCCTCTTGTAACATCTTAGTCAATATGGTATTGTAGGAGTTTATGAATGAACACAACAGGTATCTTAGAAGCTGCATCTTGAGTGAAAATTCAGAGAGTAATTTGTAAATTACATGGTGAAATAGAAATAGTTCTAATAAGATAAAGGTTTTTGGAATGACGAGAGGTAAATGGAAGTTTAAAGTCAGATAATACTAAGTTTATTACGTTAACACAAAGAGAGTTTTCAAAACTACATATTCAAGAGTCTTTTCTGTGCTGAAAACAAAAATTTGAAATGTTGCTAATGTGCCAGTTTATTTTTACATTAAGGAAACAATGCTCCTCAATGTATTTTAATAAAAGTACTGTAATGGCACATGGGCTTAGAACTATATGCTGAGGTTAGCACACACAAGTTTGAAATTGGCTGAACAAACATAGTCTTTAGTAAGATTCATTATGATGAGCTACATATAAGTGGATTTCAAAACAGGGTCTATTTTAAAGCATTCTCTTTTTCAGTATGGTTAACTACTGTGAATGGAAACAGTATTTGGATTTTGCATGTTGCAAAACCCTTGCTTCAAGTTGCAGTTTCCTTGGCAGCAGCATATTTTAATTAACAATATTTTTCTTCCTTGTTTTGTTTTCTGACATCTCAGTACATTCAAATAGTCAAAATGTTTAGAGTAACACCACCACAAATTTAATGAAACAGATCAGAATGTGGCCAGCATTGTCAGGCAAAAATTACACAATTTATGTGTCATAGAAAGGCCCCCCTCCAGCCTCCCAATACCTCCCCCCTTTCCCAGACAGGAATATGGACACCAAAAAATTTAACAAGACTTATAAAAAAATAAGGCACATTTATTTTGATATGGTAATTTAAAAATAGAAAACCCCATTCTCAGAACACCTGTATTCAAATGAGCTGTGTAAAAAGACACCTTGTGGTACCTAAAATAGGTTCATGGTACCTATGGAATTGCTTTTTCTATTTTAGTGACAATGGAATAAATTGCACCTATCCCACATTGTCAAGTAATGAAAATATGCCTCTTTTTCTACTGTTGAATGATTCCAAATCAGGTATTTAGGGAAATACAAAGGGTAGGAAAGGAAGAATCAAGAGATTCATTAGAAAAAGGTGTGACTATCAACTATGTTTATCATAAGGGTTGAGGGATTGCACTTTTCCACATATTTCAACACACAACATTTTTCTAGCTTGTATGAATGATTGCAACCATTTTGGCCTTTAGCTATTATCCACAAACTTTTTATTCCATTTCGGTAAAATGGCATTTTTATAAAATTAATGAAGAACCAGCAATGCAAATACTTTGAAGAATCTCTTCACAACCCCCAACACAAACATAATTAGTCAGCATTTAACCTGAGATACAATCTGTTGAGAGGTTTTCTTTAAACATTTCTTCATTTGTTGCATCAATTCACACTGACAGTGGCAGCTCATGGGAGGAACAATAAAAAAAAAAAAAAAAGAAAAAGAAAAACCTGGTTGACAGCATGGCTTTTTCCCCCCTTTGCAGATCTGATTTAAAAAAGAAAAAAAAAAAAAAATCACAGAATTCATGTTCTCACAGTAGCCAGAAACTAAAATAATGTGCTTCCCTTATTGCACGTCAAACCAAAAAAGTTATAAAAGCCAATGCTTTCCACTCCAAATGTGAAAGTCGGACATTCACCTCAACCGGATTCGGAATGTGCTGATTTCCATGGGACTCAAGTAGATCACACTTATATTTTGGGCAACTGGAGGTTTATGCATCAAGGATAATGATGAAGGAACAAAATCTTCAATAGTAAACGTGTTAAAAAGTTTATATACTGATATCTAAAAAGTAAAGGGACAAAAAATTAGCATATTTAGACCAACTCTTAAGATTAGTAGTATATCTATATATTCAGTAAAAACAACGTATAGAAGGGAGTAAAACAGTATGTTGGAAAAAAAAAAAAAAACAAAGGGAGGGATTAAGTCTACGTATACATGTATAAACATGCTTAAACCTATAGACCATTCCTGGAGGGAAATAGGAAGCTGTTATAATAGTCAGGGGCAATCTGCTCTGCATTCCTTTCTGTAGTTCTTGACAATTTTATCCCGCACAGGAGTTACTTTTTCAATAAGAGAAAGGACATCTATGAACCAAGTTTTAAAAATCCTTAGACTCTTTCTGTCAATACTTACACCTTACAATGATGGTTCACAACCATTTTTTTTCTGTTTCAACAGAACTGGAAAGGTCATTTGGAAAGTGCATTCTTCATACCTGCTAGGCTATTCTAACATATCTCTCTGGATCATATAACCCCCTCAGGGACTCAATGTCTCAGCGCTAGAATGCTTACAACCAAATATACTCAATCAACAATAAGGTAGAGTGCAAATATAATGGGAAAAAAAAACCCAAAATGCCAATGCTTTTTGGCACCAATTTCATAGAAGATTTGGTAAAAATAATATAAGTCTATCCAAACAGATATAGGACTTCTACCAGATTTCCTATTCTTTTCAGATCTTACACATGTGCTAGTGTGTAGAGTTGGAAATGAGCTGCCTGGGTCTGGTTTGTGGTATATTTATGGGGTTTAGGAGGAAAGCTGGTCAGCTGAGTTGCCTCATGGGGCAGACCTGCCTACACGCTGGAACCAGCTCCATTTGCCTTCTCTTAGTCACAGCTCAGAGACAGAGAGGCAGGAGACTGGAGGCTCATTTCCTTCCTGATGAAACTGCCAGCAAGATCAATTAAGAGAAATAAAAAGTAGGCAGGTGCCCTTCAGTGCTCAGGCTGAAGATCTTTTGGCCTGCAGAGTGCTGACTCATATGCAAATCTGGATTAATCAGAAGACTTAGATGTACATTTACTTCTCAAAAGGAATCAACTGATTGGAAGACTGTACAGCTGCCACTGGGGTTGTGGTCAATTAATTCAATGTTCATGCTGATGCATCTTATTGCTATGCCGGTCAGCTTCAGTCATAAAACTTGCCTTGGCCTGTGTAGGATATGGGCTTAGCACAACTGAACTGGATGGTATGTGAGCATGTGCAGTCTAGGGGAGGAAATTAAAAGGGGGAGAGATATTATGTCGTCATCTAGAAATGGAAGCCGGAAGAAATGACATGAGCCTAGCCTTCAAATGTGCACAGGTTCCAGTCATGTTTGACAAAAATCAAATACTTTCTTAAGCTTTAAGCTAACTTGCAGGCTGAGGAAAAGAAGTCAGTGAGGAGACAATGAAAGATTATCTTATTGTCAGGGCTATTTTCAGAAAATGAGGATTTTTGTCAAAGCAAATTAGCTTGACCAGCAAAAAAAAAAAAAAAAGCCTTTCAACTTACCTTTCCCTGAGTCGTAGAACAAAGCAGCCCCATGCCACTGGTAGAGAACTGGCAACCAAAGCCTTTCCTGTGGAGGATTAAGGCTGCATCACTGGAATACCCCTTGCCTTCCTGCAAATGAGCACAACACCAACACACCACAGAAATATTAAAAGCAAGTATTTACAGCACTGTTCATCATTATCTTGATGTCAGCACCCTCAAACTACATTTAGAAATTTAATTAGACATATTCATTTCTTCTCAGGCTCCACACTCACTGGGCCTATCCATCTGCTACACCCATCACCCCCATCCTCACTGAGCCAGGTGACAATATGCTGTAAGGTTACTGGTTAAGTAACTTCATGCCTTGGTTCCCCTACAGTCCTTGAGGACTCAGGCTTCCTTTGTATACAAATTATGCACTGTTTTATCAACAATTCTTCAAGTAAGGCTTTCTTTCTTTCTTTCTTTTTTTTGGTACCAGAGATTGAACCCAGGGGCACTTTACCCTGAGCCACATCCCCAGTCCTTTTTATTTTGAGACAGGGCCTTGCTAAATTGCTTAGAGCCTCAGTATATTGCTGAAGCTGGCTTTGAACTTGTGATATTTCTGCCTCAGCCTCCTAAGTCACTGGCACTGCAGGTTTGTGCCGTACCCAGCTTCTCCTTCTCTCTCTCTCTCTCTCTCTCTCTCTCTCTCTCTCACACACACACACACACACACATACACATTTTATATACAGTTCTGTTGAACAAAATGTACATGAATGTAGTTCTTATCTAGTCACTGAATGATTTATATCCATCTTAAAACTGAAACATGAATTTCCTTATGAAATACTAATTTTTGCTAATTGTATTAATATTCTTAATCTTTAATGTATTGGTTCATTATTTTTATACAAGAGACATTTAAATTGAATTAGTTATGCTTATCACTTGCAAGGACAGCCAACATTTATTAGCATGATGTATTATTTAAATTCACATAACACAAACCATTCTTTCTGGGCAGACAAACAGAAAAATACTAAGTATAAACCAGTCAGTTACAGGTACAAGCTCAAACTTTCTTGCAGCCAAATTTCTTGAGTTCATTTAAATAATGATGTCATGAATGGTTCAGGTTCTTTAATATTTTAAATTACAATTATCTTAATAAATGTTATATTTTCCCAAGTGGCAAGATGTTTATAATAAACAAACTGAATGAAAAATTCATGGAAATTTTAAGAAATGTACACTTATTCAAAGTAGACTCATATGCTGCTTGTCACTGACATAGTGAGGAAAATGATCTCTTTCTCTCTTCTCAGGCCATGGATATGAACATGTCCAAGCTCTTGATCATCCTCTCTAGGGGACAAGAATAGTTAATGTGCTATAGAGACATCTTTTCTGAATAGCTGCCAGCATTTCCACCACGGACTTGATTTTAATGTGCCTGAACAGTTTAAAGCTGTCCTCACCTCAGATTCTTGGCTGGAATAACCTATGTTATGATGTTTCACACCATTATTTAAAGTGGTATTACTAAGATTTTCTTTGAGTTGTGAGTCACCATAGAACCACATGATACACACAACAAGTTTAAATCATATGAAATTTCACCTCCCCACACACAGAGCATAAAAATGCTTCATTTATATACATAAGATTTCCAGAAGAATGACAAAGGGAACTCGATCATGTGCCAATGGTGTAGCTGGGAGTTTTTACAAGTATCAGTTTCTTTGTCTGTAAAATGGAGCTAAAGCTTGTCTCTTCCTGCATGAGGGAACTGCTTGAATTAATCTAATGAAAATACTATGTGCAGTGGCCTCACAAAGCCTGGTAGGGCAGAGTGTGTGTGGAGAAGCTGTAGAGATGAGCAAGAGCCTGGGCTGGGAGTCAGAAACCTGCAATATGACTCCTGCTCTGCAATTTACTAGCTGCTGAGTTTAGCGACACCAGGTTTTCCTTTTCTGTAATAGGGAGATGAAATAAAATAGCATAAAAAAGACTTGTTCCAGTGTCTGGCACATAGGACATCCTTTGGCTATTAGTATTTTTTATCAATGTAATCCATCAAATAAATATTGATGATAATTTTCTAAAACTAACAAATTAACCATACTCTCATTTAAACTCCCCCTTCCTTTTTTTGATATTGGGAATTGAACCCAGGGGCACTTTATCATCGAGCCACATCCCTAGCCATGCTTACTTTTTCTTTTGAGACAGGTTCTTACTTAGGGCCTTGCTAAATTGCTGAGACTGGCTTTAAACTTGTGATCCTCCTGCCTCAGCCTCCCAAACTGTTGGGATTACAGGCATGCACCACGGCTCCTAGCTCATTTAAATTCTTATTCATGAATTTCCTTTATTGACATTATAACTTTGTAGCTAGAAAAACAGAGAACCCTCAAATTATATGTCTACAGTTGTGTATCAAAATCATTACAAGTCCTTGTGTGGATTCACAGGTTAGATGGCCTTTTAATTAGACTCCTTTGGAAGCACTGTTAACCTAAAGCATTTGACCATTTTAACTCATTGCACCATCCTTAAAATCCACTTGATAGCAGAAATTGTTAAAATATCTGCAACACATTTGCTCTTAGAATGAAAAATTCCTAACTCTGTTACCAAAGGGGTCAAAAAAATGGAAAGGAAAATATAATACCTTTGAAATTCTATTTCTGAATTTCATAAGAGATTTAAAAAACTATACAAAAGTAGAGATGAAGCCATAAAACTTACTTTTCATTGAGATAAAAAGTTCTACTTTCTCTAAAAACTAAAATTAAATCATTTTGTAAGGACTAACTGAAATAGTAATTATCTTGTCCAAGTTTTTAAAAAATCAAATATTCATGAAAGTATCAGTTTTCAAGCAAAAAATACCTGAGGCAAACCAGAAGTTTTTCAGTTTCAAAGTCTGTCTAGACATTTTATTTCCAAGAAAACTGTTTTTCAAAGTAGTGAAACTGTGAATTTAACTTGAATATGGATGCAGGAAAACAGATATCCCCCAGCAATCACACTGTATGCTTTAGGAGAGTAAATAGATATCGAAAGAACTCTTCTTATATACACTAAAACACTGTAATATCTGGACCCCAGAAAAGAGGAAGGTGTAGGGAAGAAAATTTGTGATCTTTGAAAATGCACATAGTATAGTTGGGTACCTGTGTTTGTAGAACAGGTTAGGTCACAATTGAGACTGAATCACTGAAGGCAGGCTGTGGTGTTCAAAAATCACAGAGAAAATCCATCCCAAAACTCCTTTCTGGGGATCAAACCAACACCCAGCTCACAGGGCCTGCAAGGCTCTTCTTGTAATGTGGTAGAATATAGTGGAAAATGACTGGGTTTGTACAATGAAGCCATCAGATAAAGCTGGGCTTAGAGAAAGTGGGATCAGAACAAGATTTAGTTTCACCATGAACCAAGCCATGTGACTCTGGTTCATGGTGAAATGTCTCAACCCCCAAAAGTACTGCGCATGGAACCCAAGGCCTCCATGCCAGGCAGGTACTTTACCATTAGCTACATTCCCAGTTCTTTTTGATTTTTTACTTTGAGGCAGGGTCTCACACTAAGTTGCTCAGACTGGCCTTGAACTTGCAATCTTCCTGCCTCAGCCTCCCAAGGAACTGAGATTATATGGTGCACCTGGCTTGTGGCCATGCAAGAGGCAGCATAAGGCTATAAACAGGAACCTGGAGTCAGTTTTTTGAGGGTGCCTTGCAGCTACCTTGCCCTGCTGTGTGACCTGGAATGTTATTTGCCATCTCTCAGTCAGTTAGTTTGCTCTTCTGTAAGATGGGATAAAAATATCACCTACCTTCTTTGTGGTATGGGAACTTTAAGCAAGGTTCATGTAAAGAACCTAGCATGATGCCTGGTATATAGACAATTAAAAAAAAAAAAACCCGAGGAATCATTAATTAAACATATCAGGAATAAGTTAAAGTGACATCAAGATTTACTTTGGCAATAAATGTCAACTTTCTCCATTTTTTTTTTTAAAAGGTGCCAACATGTATTTTTTGGGGGTGCAGGGGGTTCAGGAGATTGAACTCAGGGACATTCGACCACTGAGCCACATCCACAGCCCTATTTTGTATTTTATTAGAGACAGGGTCTCACTGAGTTGCTTAGCGTCTCACTAAATTTCTGAGGCTGGCTTCCGTTTCCCAAGCCACTGGGATTACTAGTGTGTGCCTCTGCACCCAGCAAGCACCAACATTTTTATTTCATTGTTAATCATGACTGCTCATGCCCGAATGATCACAGCTGGAAACTTAAACTTGTCCAGCACTCACAGAGCTCACCATGTGTACACTTGTTCAAAACACCTCAGACATTTCCTTTAAGCCTGACAACATTTCTGAGCTGGGTACTATTATCATCCCTGTGCTACCAATAAGGAAACTGAATTCAGAGTTAAGTGACTTGCTCTAAGTCACAGGTTAGCAAGAAGATGAGTCATGTTCAAAATTCAGGTGGTCTGACACCAAAGTCTGTGCTTTTAACAGCTTTCTTTTCCTGCTTTGCTCTAGTTCTGGATTGGTGCCCATAGCTACCTAGTCAGGAAGGGAAAGATAGGGATTCTGTTTGATGTAATGTCATAAAACACATAAACTAAAGGAGATAACCCTTCTGGTTTAAGACTGGAAAGAGGGAATATATTTGGTCAATAGTCCCAATAGAGCTAAAAACATGACTTATCAAAACATAAATCAATTCAGAAAGCAAGGTTTGGAAATTATAATTTCTTACATATCTGCCACCTACCCACCTATCCACTCATCTCATTTCAAACAGGATTAAAGGCCATTCTGAAAATTATAACTGCTCATGAAGTCTCTCCTAAGGAAGGAAAGATAAAAATGAATATTCCTCTACTGAAGCAGATAAGAACTTAAGATGTGAAAATTGTGCTATTTATCTTTCACTCCAAAAGAAACTTGATTTGCCTATCAATTACACAATGGTCACAAATCAGTTAACTTTTGGAAACTGTAATAAACATTAGAAATAGTGTAAACCCACTGTTTTTTGGGGGATGAGAATAGTCTTAACTCTGACCAGATATTCTAAGAGTAATGTGATCCATACCTTTTCACAAGATTTCCAAGGTGCACATAGATCAAGAAATAGCTAAACCCCAGGGGGAAATTTTCCCCAACACACTCAGATTCTTTGAAAATGCCTAACAACTCATCTGTAGTGCATTTTGGCAGCTAGACAGGTTAGAAAATTGCAAACTTTGTTGTAAATTCTGAGACAGGAAATAACCAATAGAAATTCATTTTTCAGGGTACTCATTAAAATGTCTAATGATAGCTATTTTGTTTTGATCAACAAGATAAAATGACAGAAAGAAAAGGAAGGTGAGTGGTTATTCTTAGAGACGTACAACAAAGGAAAATTTCCCCCCACAATTTTCACCTTTCCAGAAGCTAGGGAGATCAATAGAGCACCAATCAATTCTTATAAAGAAACACAAAACAAAGTAAAAACCTTAAAATGCCTTTTATGAGAAAAGACAGGTGGTATAAACAAGTGCAAAGAGAAAATATTTGAAAAGCAATGGTGATGTTGAAATGACTGGTCCATGCCAACCATCAGTTAACTATAATCTCAGAGAAAATAAAGAGTTAAAAGTATTAAGTAGATATAAATCAAACAAAAACATATGAACATAAAAGCAATCTGAAAAACCAACAACAAACAAAAAGCTGAACTAAGTATCACTTTTGAAAACATCAAGGTAGAATGGCACCATGAAACCTAGCTGAATGCTTAATCAGGTTCCTCTCTGTCCCTCTGTTCCAGCCTGAACCTGCATGCAGTTCCATCCTTCCGAACCATGACTCATGTCTCTGTTCTCCCATGGGATTTTCCCAGCATCATCTCTGCCAGGATTCCCTTTCTCCTCAAATAAACTACCCTTTCCCGGTGACATGGCTTGCCTATTTAGGGTACTTGAGTGGTGCTCCTGTTCCCAGTTTTCAAACCTTCATAGAAGCTTCTTTGTAATATCTGAAGCTCTTGATAGTGGAGGGAAAGGAAGTGATCAAGAGAAGGATGACAGGCAGAAGGAGGAGGAGGCCAGCAGGGAAACTCCCAGACAGCGGCTGGAATGGGCTAAGCCACCACAGCACACTGTGTGCCGGCAGAGCTTCAGAGAGGTCTCTTCCCTTTGTTCATCTGAGTAAAAAAATATCATAATTTTCTAAAAATGGATATAAAGTACAAATCCCAAAGCTATCTATATAAAAACAAATTCATCTACTAATATAGATAATTTTGGAACAACCAGACCTTTAGAAATAAATTTGGTTTCTTCAAAAAGTCACAGATTGCCCTTTGAGACCACATACAGCACTTCAATTCAGAAGTCCTGCTGGATGATTTTACTTTAATAATTTAATCTCTAGCCCTTATTCCCCAATTTAGGAAATGAAGATAACTTAGCAATTTCTAGAATTTTTTTAAAGGAGAGTTTTTTAAAAACTTACTAATTATTAGGCTCTCTTCTTCAGACTACAGAATTAGGATCTCAGAGTTAGGATGTGAGTCTCCATTTAAAAAAATCTCCCTGGTAAGATGTGCACCTAGTGAATCTGAGGCTGGTGCAGAACCACCTCAGTGGGTTATCGCACCTCCAGCCTGCACCCGATCTTTCTCACTGTTCTTTAAACCATAACACCTTTATCCCTGGGGAGGAGCAAGGAAGACCAAATAAGGTTTAGACACTTTAGGTTTAGAACCTTCAGACAGTAGCCTGGGGATGGGCAATCGGGTGTCCTGTATTGCACTGCTGATGGAGGTCAGACAGGATGAGACCTCCCACCGCTTGTATCATGCCAAGGCAGTCCTCAGACACACTGGTCACGAAAATGTTGCAGTGGTTAGAAAAAGGCCAACATAGACATGGGCCAATGAGACCTCTGGTTTTGTTTGGAACCCAGTCTATGTCAAAATTACTTTAGGGGGAAGTAATCACCAAATGAATACCTAACATTGTACCCTGAAAGCTGCCAGCATACAAAAAACAGGAACACAATTTGAGTCTAGCTTCTAGATCTATGATTGAGTCATTTTTGCCTTTCTTTTAGTATAATCACAGGATTACAGTGGATACCTTTTAAATAACAGCTTTCTTTAAACCAATACTCACAATAGCTTCATTCAATGATTATTTTTCTTTTATCAAGTTTACAAGACAGAGAAACTCTTTAAAGCAGTGGTCCTGAATGGCCCAATGATCCTCTAGGATTACCAGTGGGTTTTTAAGTAACTGTTTCAAATATGTGCTGAGTCAAAGACTAATCTAGGAATTGGCACTGATCGATATGATAATATGCAACATCGCTGAATATTTAGTTCTGATTATGTGCCAGCATGGTAGTGATTGATGGGCATTGACATTTTAGTCTTTATTCTGCCTGGTGAAATCTGTTATTAAACTGTTCTCTGTTTGCTCTGCTAAAACCTCAATTTGCACCCAAATTGGCATATACTTGCATTCAACTTGGCTCTAAGAAGATAACAACATTTATTTACAGTGTTTGTTTTCAAAGGGCTCTTGCAGCATCATTTAACCTGTTTCTCACAATAGGCATAACACAGACATTTCTGATATCTCCCTGTTTTATAAAGATTAAGGTCAACAGCCACTCTTCGGTCCATGGGTGGTTCACTTGTCCACCTGTGCAAAGATGAGAAGAGTAATGTGAAGCAAGGTGGCAGCAGTGACTATAGAGGACAGGAATGTTTGAGGGTGTCAACCAATTTGGTAGGCAATGGGATTTTCAATCTGGAAGGTGATTAGACTATGAAGTTAGCCAATAGCAGGAAAAATGTAAACAAGTTACCATTAAAAAGAAATGACAAGGAAAACAAATGCTAGTTTGGATTACTGAGGGTAAAATAATACCCAAACTTTCACTGATTCTAGTCAGCTCAAGCTGTGCCCAGAAAAAAATTACATTTGAAACAATTACAGGGGAGGAGTCGTCTACAAGTGACGCTAAGGGACAGTGGTGCTATTATCCCCAGAAGCTCTTGGGAGATTCTGTTCATGTCTTCTACCATGGGTGCCTGGAGGTGGTAATCTGAGGTCCACAGTCTCTGGTGCTCTCTACTTTGTTTGTTTATTCCAGTTTGGCTCATAAATTAATAACATGTTACATCAGGGAGTTATCTATCCTTCAGTTTTCTTTCCATGAGCCATCCTAGTCTCAATGGGCCAAAAAGTAGGCCTACAAGAGACCATAGGAAAATCCTAGTGAGAACATCCACATTAATTCATTCATTCAACAATTACTGAGCTCTATTACTATGTATAGGCTCTATTCTGGGCAGAAAGAATATAGAGATGGATAAAAAAAAAAAAAAAAAAAAAACCCTCTCACAGAACTTACATTCTGACCACAATTGCACCTCAGGGCTTTCATACTTGCTTTGAACTCTGCCTGGAGCACTCCAGCCCAGAAATCTGCATAAGTCTCTTATTTCATGATCTCTTTCATATTTCTGTTGCATTATTACCTTCTCTGTGGGTTGCTCACTAACCACCCCAATCTTGTTTCACCTTTTCTGAATCTCAATTCTCTCCTCCTTCTCCCTGCGTAACACTTGAAATCATTTAACATATTATATGCTTCTCTTAGTTTTTTCTTCTCCCACTAAGAGCTAAGCTCAGAAGACAAGGTCTTTTGTCTCTTATATCATAATGCCTATGGCAGTAACTAGCAGGTAATAACATAATATACACCTTCCAAGTTTTCTTACATGGCAAAAAAAAAAAAAAAAGGCATTTCAACAGATATATAGAGGGTCACTCCAGCATTCACTGAACACATTATTACAAAACACACATGTTTTCTTGCATAGAAAAGCATACTTCCTTATTTTGGACACAAAGTTTGGAAATCCCTAAATGCCCAAAGTGTAGCCATTTGTTCTTACTTTATTTAAGTTTCCTTTAGTTCACCCTTCTTAAACATCTCTCTCCTCTTAGATTGAGCATCCTCTTAATACTGAAGCCATTTCCCATAGAATCTTCTACCACTTACTATATCCAGCTAATTGCATGTCTATTCACAATATAAAAATAGCTCTAACACAAGAGGGATGTCAAATGTCGAATCCTTATTCTTTCTGAATGTAACAGTTTTGATGTTAAAAATGGACATATATGTAAGTCATATATGTAACTCAAAGTCTAACAATTAAATTTCTTACCTAATGAAACCTTCCCATGTTCTTTCTCTAATATTTTCCTAAATAGTTGGTTTCCTAATACAAAGGTTGGAGTTGCAATGCTTTTCAAGAAAAAGATATGAAAAAACAAAGCTTGTGTTACAAAAATAATTAAGCACTATATTTTCTATTTTTCTAAGTCCTGAAAAACACTGGCTAACAAGGATAAAGGGTAGGAAAAAATCACTGGAGTTGACCTGCCTGGTTCTCCCACCGAATTATGTGACCAGCTTCCTCATTGGTAGAAAGAAGTTGATATCTGTGATTTGCTTGGCATACAGATCTTTTCTGAGTCAAATAAATTAGCATTGGGATATGCTCTAAACTACAGATCAATCATTGAATGAAAGGGATAATGATTTTGGCTAAAGGAAAAACACTTGCTATTGTTTCTCAAGCCACAGTGAAGTTAACAGTACTTTTCCCTCCACCTTAACCTAAACCAAGTAAACAAAAGAAGTAACTTTTTATAGTATATTTTGGAGATATACCTTTGCCTGTATTGTCCGCAGATTAACCAGATGAATGTCACAAGGCAAAGATGACACTAAGGGACTGAATTCACTCAGCAGTTCGGAGGAGACCTTTACTTTTGCTGTCATTACAAAGACTGGATGGTTCAGAAAAGAAGAAGTTATGTGGCTGAGGAGGGAAGGAAAACTGACTGGACTCTTCTTTTCTTCTTCCTATCAAGATAAAACAAAAATGCTTAATAATTAAATCTGCAGTTCCCATTATATTAATTAACAAAGTTTAAATGTAAAAATATATTAATATTTTGATTTTATTTTATTTTATAAATATTATTAGAGCATACACACAATGGATTATAAAGTTCATTGCAAGCAACATAACAAATAGTGTCCATTTAACTCATGTTTAAAAAGTTTCCTCCATTCATTTAATATTAAAAATAACAAAAACTTTTTCCATGAACATTTTTGGATAAGGTTCAACTTTTTATGAAAACCCCCAACCTACCACAAAATTCTGAAAGTATAAGAATTGTGATGTTCCTATACCTTGCACATCCCTTCTCTCTCAGGATTCGCCCATTCTAGTTCATGGTTTCATTTATACATTTAAAAGACCAGAAGGCATGTATGAATCTAAAGCTATGTTGCGTGAATCGTACCAAATTATAGGAGCTAACTGTTACTTAATGACAGGATTTAAAAAAATACAGAGCTTTCAACTCTGGATTTTAAATACAGGTAACAGAAGTAGCATATCTAGATAATCTGTTTCTTTAAATTTGGTAAACCATTCATAATTGCTTCACTATATTTTATCTGAAAAATATGAATTGTTATATATGTTACTGAATGATTATTCCACATGATAAAAAATACATTAGTCTTTGCTATGATATATGCTTATTAGGCAACATTTCTGTATGTTCAAACATCAAATAAATCCACCAGGGTTAGAGGTATGATAGATGACATACAAAATTAATTAAATCAATGCTTAGTAGAACCTTAACCAACAATGCCTAAGGAGTAAAAACAGATGTAGGAAGAACTGAGAAGAGAAAATAATGTATGTAGAAAGGCCCTTTGATCATCAACTACATTTGAATTGAATTTAATTTTTTAAAAATGACTACTTTCACTGATACCTTCTGACTTTGCATCCTTTTTGTAATATAGGACTCAAAAGGCTTGGGCACTTATCTGTGTGAAAAGACAGAATTTATAAAGATATGGAGCTTAAAATTCAGAATGTCAGATTAGCATTGGACAGAAGGGTGCTAGCAGAAAGTGAGTAGCATTGTGCCAGGAGCTGACAGTAGATGTCATTACAATTCAGACCATGGAGAGAGAAAAAAACTTAAAGGCAGCAAAGGGGCATTGCAAAATTAAGATACTGACAAAAAAAATAGGTCTGAAAATTATGTGAAAATGTATCCATTCCACATTCTTTCTTAAAGAAAGATTAAGTAAAGCATATAAAATAATATTCTCCAACAATACTGCCATTTAATGCAGCTTGTAGAATAACATGAATAGAAAAGGAACATTTCAACAAGACACTTAAATGTGCTGCCAGATCAAAAGGCTTCATAATCTAGGTCAGGATTGCTGACAAAATCACCTTCTGAGTAATAAAAGATAAAAGATTCAAAAAGAAAGAAAACACCCGCCTTATCAGATTTGAGAGGCCTTAAGTTCATTGCAGGTCATTCAGAAAAACCTCTCTGGCTTTGTTCTCTATTCCTGGAGGAATTGTTGGACACTTCATTGAGTAGATGAGATACTTCTTGGCAGAGTGTTTATACCTTAGAAGCAATCATAAGCATAGATACTAATCCTCCAAACCATATCTCCTGACTCTTGGTATTTCCGAGAATTAACCACATGACAGAATAACTTGGGGAGCCTTTACAAAACATAGATTCTTGGGTCCTAACCAAAATCTATGGAATCAGAATCTCTAGGGGTAAGGGCTTGGGAATACAAAGCTTAAAAGCCTTGGCAGGCAAAGTTCATAGAGCCAGCCAAACACTGCTCTGTGAATCTGTACTGGAGCTGCCACCCCAGACGATTTCCCTATCTACTAGAGGAAATAGAACTCTTTACAATAAAAATTATTAGCCTTGCCCTTTAGTAGTTTTGAGTTAAAGCAACAAGGTTCAGACTCAAAGACGTTTTGACAAAAGTATTAAAAAAGGAAACAAGGCTATGAATGTATATACTTTGGGAATTAAAGAACTGTGTCGTTGATTACCCTTAAAAAGATAAGAAATGTTTAAAAGTTGTTGTGGTTCCATATCAGAAATTACAATGAACAAATGAGACAGCTGGAGTCTGGCTGGGCCAGTGGGACAAAGTCTCATCCAGGGGAGGGTTTCACCATTCACATGCTTTCTTATATTCATAGCAATAATGAGCTCAATAAGATATCTAAGTGTCCAACTACCAATATCTGATTAACTTCCTAGAAAGTTCCCCCTAAAAGCTCAAGTGTTATCAAATGTAGCAGTTTACAGAGTTGAAATAATTAGATTATGAGAGCTATAACCTAATCACTGGATTAATCCACAAAGTGGATTAATGGACTAACCGGGTGGTAACTAGGCAGATGGGGAATATGGCTGAAGGAAGTAGTCTTTAGGGGCATGTCTTGGGGACTATATATTTTGTCCCTGGATCCTCCTGTTCTCTCTGCTTCCTGGCTGCCACTGAGGTGAGCAACATTGCTCCACCACACCCTTCCACATGATTTCTGCCTCATCTGGAGTCCACAGTAATGGAGTCAGTCAACCATCGACTGAACTGCTGAAAACATGAGCCCAAATAAATGTTTCCTCCTCTAAGTTGTTCTTGTCAGGTATTTTGGTTACAGCGACAAAAACCTGACTAAAACAAAAGGTAACCTCCTAACTCTTAGAATAAATCCAGAAAACATGTTTGCTATAGAAAATATACATGTTTGTTTTAAGCTATAAACGGATTCCCAGATTTGTAGTGACTGGTATTGCTACTATAAACATTATTTGGTTTTGTTTGGAAGGTGTTGGTCCATGTAAATCTGGCATTCTCTCTGCAGCTTGCATTAAAATCTTTCACTACATTTTGATCCAAACCACTCAAAGCCTATTCCTCACTGGGTTGCAACCTTATTTCAGAAGTAAGAACTTCTTACCAGGCTTTTGGCAGCTTTTATCAAGCTCACATAAAAAGCTAAACAGACTTGTTAAATTATGGAAGATATTTTTTTTTAGTCATCTGTTTATTGTTTGCCCTAGTACATGGTGAGACCTTATTAAATGTCTGTTAAGGTAAATCTATTAATTTAACAAATGCATGCAGTAGAAATACATGAGAATACTATGGAAGGGAAGGGTGGGACAAAAAAGAAGATAAAGAGGGAGAGAGAAAATAAATGAACAAATATTGACTATAATATTTAAAGACAAACATTGCCATCATGTTCCTGAGCCCTAAAACCATTTGAGTTTCTAATATGATTTCTCCCAATTTTATCTCCTTACATGTGTAGAACTGGCATCTAGAGGTGAAAGGATATAATTCTAACACCTGAACACTTCTAGAGCTCCTAAATCCTCAACACTTCCCTTACTATATCAACCATCAGCAGGAAAGGGGTAGGGAGTAAGAATCAAAGAAATAAATCCTAAAGTGGACAATGTCAGAGACCCTTCCCACTTCCCATTTCTGTTGACTCTTGTTGATTATTAGCATGGATGATGGTCAGCCTTATGCAGCCAGTCCTCCACTGGGCATATGCACATCTCAGTGATTATCACTCCAAGTCTTTGTTCTCACTGCCTCTTTGCAGAACATTCTGAGAACAAGACTCATTTGTGTTTAGGCAGCCCAGGATTACTTCCTTGAAGCTCTGGCAAGCTCAAGGCCTCCCATTAAAACCCCTACCTATATGAGTGTGATAAGGACTTGAGAGGCTGAGGCAGGAGGGTTGCAAGATAGAGGCCAGCATGAGCAACTTAGTGAGACCCTGTCTTAAATAAATACATAGGACTGGGGATGTAGCTCAATGGTAGAGTGCTGCTGGGTTCAATCCCAGCACCAAAATAATAACACTATCATCATCAACTGCCACCACCAAAATCCCTACCTTTCTAGGGAGTATGTTCCCCATTTGTTTTCCACCATCAATATTTTAGATATTAATTGTGAGAGTTGAAATTAAAAATTCTTTTTAGAAAATTGAAGTTACATGATATATAAAATTTCTTAATGGTCTTTTTAATCAATTTTCTAGTAACTAAAATGTATTTTCTCCTCTCTAGTTCATTTTTTACTTAAAAGAAGCCATTGATTTAAGCCCCAGAATACACAGATGAGTAAAAGAAAAATTTAACCAACATAGAATTATACAAATGTTGGAGCAAATTTAAATCAATTACTATCCAAGGAGTTTTGAATGGGAATCAACAAATTATTTTAGTTGTAAGTGAAGCTGTACAGATCTGACATGAACATTTTTACTGCCATAGTTAACAGAAGTTTTGCAGATTAATGTCAATATATAGAGAAAAATGTAAAAGCCAGAAACATTTTCAGGGGGAGAAAAAGACAGTAGCTGCCAAAACTCAGACAATGAGTTTTCTATGCAGTTTTAACTCTTAAAACTAAGCTATCTTCTCAGAAATTGATTTAAGCCACAAGTCTCAAGAACTGGTGTAAACCTTGACATCTAAAATGGATATTATTTTTTTTCCTAAAAGATTCTAAATACTATAATAGTGGCTGGAAAATTAGTTATTTCCATTTTACTTAATCAATTAGTATTTTATAGAATGTTTATCACAGCTAAGGTGACCATGAAAATGAAGTGGACAAGTCTCTGGAATCTAGTAGAGATAAAGCAGGTGTTTTCTCTGATAGGAACAATCCTAGAAGAAAAAGTCATAGTCCCTACTCTCAACAGTTTATGGTCCAAAAGAGGAGAAAAGACAATGATCAAATAATCATACACACACATGAAGGTGAAATGCACAGTTTGGAGGGAGCATAAGAGAAGAAGTAAGATATGGTCAAGAGGCAGTTTACTAAGTGAGCTCTGATCTGAACTATTACTAAGAGCCCTGGGTAGAGAGGATGAAAGGACATACTATGGGAGAAGAGGGTGGGAAGAACTTTGAACTGAAAGCAAACCAGTGTGTCTAAAGCAGAAAGAGTGAGAAGCATGCAAGATGCCTAGGGAATGGCCAAGGCCCGCATCATGAGTAGCTCTTCAGGCCAGGATAAGAATTTTCGCTTTTATACAGACAACAATAAAAAGACATCAAAAGGACTAAGCAGCGGGTAACAAAGCTGGATTTGGTTTAGAAGAAAATCAAAACCAAAAAAACTACTCTGTCTACTGGGTTAATGACAGCTCTATTAGAAAGAAGAAAGCAGGGTGGATACACCTAGGCTAGATCCAAGAAATACTTTGTGTCAGTTTAGATCAGGGTGGTGAAAGTAAAAAAGTTTACACATTGAAATACTCAGGGCATGAGACACTGTCCTGATGAGGGAGAAATGACCTTTGTGACTCTCTCCTAGGTGTCTGGCTCAGCACTGGTGGATGGTGTGCTTGTCGCTGAGAGAGGTGGGTAGCAAGATCATGAGAGTGGTGTTAGATATGCCAAGCTAAGGTGAGATCAAGCTAGGTTAAGGTGATTTGTGGGTTCTATCTTTGTAGAGGTAGCAAATAAAACCCACAGAGTAGAAGAGATTGTCAAAGAATGATGTATAAATTGAGAAAAGGAGAAGGCTAGGGCCAAGCCTGGGGGGCTCCAGTATTTAATGACTGAGTAAAGAATTATCAGAGAGATTAAAAACTGCCAGAGAAGTAGGAGGAAAATCAAGTAAACACGACACTGTGGAAACCTTGGCCAGAAAGCATTTTAAGACGTGATAAAGGTCAGTGTCAAATGCTGCTGAAAGGTAGACTTAGTTAAACTGGCAAAAGTTCTGTGTATGATGGAGGCTAGAGCCAGACTGAAGTGCACTGTGAGAAGGGAATCATAAAATGATCCCAAGGTATAACTCTGGCTCACTTGGGTAGGAAACAGCAGCACAGGGGAAATGAGAGTGTGAGTTTGAGTAGGGGCTATTTTCTATTATTTTTATCAGAAGAACAAAGATTGTTTGAAAGACAACAGAAAGAATCTCTGAGGTAAGTGCTGGCCTCTGAGGGGCAGGGGAGAGAGAAGGAAAGAAGATGGACAGTAAAAGGATCCTGAGGAGGGTGAGGGGGAAAGTGCCAAGAATAACTGGAAAGGCTGCCTATGCAAAGGCTGGGAGGAGACTTGGTATCTAGAACAGGGAACTCTGTGTAGTGACTGATTTCCCTATAAAGTGGAAGGCGATGACACTGGCTGAAAAGATTGGAAAAGTATAGAAAAGAGAATGGAGTAAGAGGAAAAGGGTCATGTCCAGGGCCACCTGAGGGTGTGTACAGTAGTTTATGGAGAGCTCTGAGGATCACTCTTGCTGTTATCTGAGTAACTATTATATGGTCTCTAAGGTCCAGTACCACTTTTGCCAGACTTTTGTATGAAAGGTAAAGAAGTGAATACATTTTCCATTGATGAATCAAATACTAAAATAAGACCACTAAGGTTTCAAATAAATTTTATCACACAAACTTAATCTCCTAAGTATGCGACTAAACTCTAGTCTTTAATTCTTATCTAGGTCAATTTATTTTTATTTTTTTGGATACTGGAGACTGAACCCAGAGGTGTTCTACCACTGAGCCACACCAACCAACCCTTTCTTCAAAATTTAAGAGAGTATCTTGCTAAGTTGCCCAGGCTGGCCTTGAACCTGAGATCCTCCTGTCTCAGCCTCCTGAGTTGCTGTGATTATAGGCATGGACCATTATGGCTGGCTTAGCTCAAATTTTAAACTCTTATTTCTTTCAAAATAATTTAAGCCAAATTACTTACTTGATATTGTTTTTTAATCAATATAATAAGCAAAAGGAAAAAATAAAATTACCTAAATACATTTAACCTTACACAATGCTTATAACTAAAGATTTTCTGTGAATGTGGGCTGAATCTGTTACAGAGACATCTCAACACTGCAAATTGTAAAATGAATTTAAAAAATAGAAAGTCATTATTTCAAATTTTGGGTGACAAAGAACAACCAACACCATTACATTCTAGTTATTTTTTCCTACCATATCTACACCACTTCTTTCTTCTAATAGTATTCGAAATAAATTAGCTGTGATCTTGTTATCAGTGACACCTTGCCCAAGGCCACGATTATCATCTTGCATCAATCTTCGATCCATGATGACTTCAATATCACCTAACAAACAAAGAAACTGACCAGGATTATTTAATACAGATATTTGTTGTTAAAGATCATTTAAGTAGAAGGCATGATGTCTTGTTTTAAATTTCTGGGCCAGTTCAGGAGGTGAATCTTGATAGCCCACATGCCATGGACTTTCTCTTGGTAACAACAGTTCAAAGCAGCTACAATAAATTCATAAAACAAGAGAGCATTTCTCTTTCTCTTCATTAATGTTTAGCAATACCTGATAAGAAATTTTAAAATAGGATAAGACAAATCAAAACTTAAATGAAACATTTTTCAACAAAAATTAATTAACCTAAAAAACTGATTTTTAGTGCCAGCACTTGGAAAAAAAAATGTTTATGAGGTTTCTTATGAAATGTACTACAAACATGTAGTAATAAGATACATACCCATGCATGGGATCTAACAAAGATTCACAAGTAAAATTTAGGTAGCTTGATATGTGGTGATTCTCTGAAGAAGTCCTAGAGTTTGAAGACATCCAACCATGTGCTCCCTTCTCTGATACTGTGCTAGCAGGATCATCATTGTCCTGCCAGTGCTCTGGCTTTAAGGGGTCATACCTGATTCCTTTATTTGCCATGTGATAATTCCATATTTCCTCTAGTTTAAGTTATAAACTAATGATTAGGTTATGAAATTACAAAGTGAAAAAATTAAAATCAGAATCATAGGTATAAATTCAAGATTACACTCAAACAGGACTTTAAAAGCTAAAGTTACACTTAAAAAATACATGTATATTTTTTTCATATCTATTACTACATTAAATGATCATTTGGCTTTAAAGGGAAATAGCTAACCTAGAAAATTTTTAATAACTAATAACCTTTTTAGTTTCTTTCTTGGTAACAGTTCAAAGCAGCTACAATAAATTCATAAAACAAGAGAGCATTTCTCTTTCTCTTCATTAATGTTTAGCAACCTGATAAGAAATTTTAAAATAGGATTAGACAGATCAAAACTTAAATGAAACATTTTTCAAAAAAAAAAATTAATTAACCTAAAAATAGATTTTTAGTGTGAGCACTTGGAAAAAATAGTTTAGATGTCCAATACAAAAATTACAGTAGAATTATCACTGTTACTCTCTCCATGTTTTAGGAGACCTTTATCTAGGATTTACTCCCAGGAGTTAACTGTTCTCATGTGTATCTAGAGCCTATCACTTCACACCTAAGTCAGCAAATCAATTTCCTGGCAATTTCTAATTCTTCTCCTACTTCAAATCTTGGATCATACAACATGTGACACTTAATGATTTTCTGGACTGTACTCAAATTGTTTTAATTCAAATACTGGGGCTATTTGACTGTTTCTAACAGAAGCAGAAGAGCTTGATTGTTCAGCCTGTCTTCACTGGGAAGTAAGAGAATACTCTTAGTTTGTCACTGTCTGAGTCTAATGTCTAGTCCCCTATTTAGACCACATCTTTGAAAATTTAAGGCAGGGTTTAAAAATGGGTGGCTCAAGAGTTACATGACACAAAGATGTTTTGTCTACACATTTTATTTAAATTATGTTAACATTTATAGGTTCCATGACTTCAAGTAAAATCCCAGACTTGTGAATTCTTTTACAAAGACTGAAATATTTAGCAACCAAAGGGCCTTTATCCTTGTGGCAAACATCAAAGTGCACTAAGTAGTGGATGCCCCATTGTAAATGGGGAAAACACTCTCCAGTGTTTCTGTGCCCCCATCATTCCCCATTGGTCACTGACGTGAAGTCATTATTTTTGTAATTGAAGTTATGTCTTCACAGCATAACTTCACGTGACTTTATCTAATGAGTGTCACAAGAAAAATGAGAAGTAGTAATTTATTTGTTTGTGGAAGCCCAGAATGCATGTAGATGCCTATGTAAAAGTTGGGTTTGTGTCAAAAGACACATCAGGTGTCTGTACTTAATTTATTACCTGTATGTCTCCTTCAGATATTTATTATTTGCAACTCTTGGTAGGTTAAAAAAAAAGAGCAATTGATGATATATACAATAACTAATTTAAAATTATGCATTATAAGAGATCAAAGTCTTTCTATAGAAAGTTTTATAAAAACTAATCAGTTTCTACTGCCTATTTCATCTTTCTTTTCATTGCTTTCTCTTCTTTGGAATCCTTGAAGTTGTACTTCTTCATGCCCATAACTCCATCATCTCATCTACTCATCTTCTTTTGGAAGTTGTGGGGTAGAAAGACCAGGACCCAGAAAAACTAAACTTCACATCTTTGCAAACTCAGGTAAGTTTTCTAAACCTGTAGAGTCTGAGTTTCCACATCTAGTAAATCAAGGTGGTGACAGAGATCTCATCTATACAAAGAACAGGCTATCAGAAGAAGTAAGTTATCTTTAAAAAAAAAAATGGTGACATGTAGGCCCCTGTTCTTTACCTGATGTTTGAGAAAATTCATCACTTTATTCTCTTCTTACAAAACCTAAAACTAATAGGCTGGTTCTTGAAAGAAAACAGGCTGGTTTTAATGGAACAGGATAATTTATACATTTGTACACAGAAAAATTGTACAATTAGAACTGAAACCTTTCAGAGCAAAAAATAATTCAGCAACACATACCACTTTTCAAACTGGAAACACCGGAAGACTGAGCAGAGAGCAGTGTCAACCGATTCTTAGCATCCTGGATATATGCCATTGTAGTCATTGGGTAGACATTTGCTTGAAGAGGCAATTTGCTCAATGTCATTCTAGGTTGAATCTATAAAACCAAACAATTCTCTTTTAAAAATTGTGATATTTACATATATACTTTTACAAATTATTATTAAATATTGAGCTTTCTTCTAAAAAGACTTGAGTTTCCTTTCTTGTTTAAGCTAAGAAATAATCTAAAAATTAAAATATTTCTTAAAACATAATGAAGACAAATCACAAGGATCTTAGAAAACAATTTTTAAGTGGGAAAGGTAGAACTTGTCCTGATTTTAAAAATAGGCATTTCTATTTAAATTCAGAATAAAAATGGCTAAAAAAATCTTCTAGCTATTCCATATTTGCATAAAACAAATTATAAAGGTATTAAGTATTCATTTCTCATCTAAATCTAACATACTGCTTTTGTAATGAATGTTAAGCATAATAGCTCTCTATCCCTTTCAAGACATATCTCCCATTATTCTTGAACCGCTTTTAATAAATACCACAGATCTCCCCACCAAATCCTCTAACATATTAGATTATAATCAAATGCATATTTATATTTGAAAGCCATTCAACATTTACTCTTCTTGTTTAGCTTCAATGTAGATAGTTCTAAATTTTGGTTTCTCACAGACTAGTATTTGAATGCATGAAACAGAAATTTATCTTTTGAGAGAGACTGTCAGAACCTAAAGCAGTCTGGGTAACAGTAACTAATTCTAACTTCAGAACCCTGTTATCAATGAGTCGTACACCACTTAAAACAGTCATCTCCTCCTTTTAACTTAAGAAAGTTTGACATGAAACTCAAGAAAATGAGAGGTACAAAGTTAGCCTAACAGTTAACGTGCACTGAGTGCCCATTAATGGAAGGATGGTCCTTAGTACTTCATGGATCTGATCTTTAATATTTCTACAACCCTAGGAATGTGAGTGTGTTCCTCAACTTACTGATTATATTGGGGTGAATAGTGTCCCCTCAATGTTCATGTCTACCTATAAACTGTGAATGTGATTTTATTTTTAAATAGAGCCTTTGCAGAAATAGATGAGCCTATACTAAAGAAAGGTGGATCTTAACTGAATGCCTGGTATCTTATAAACAGGAAAATGTGGACAGAGAGAGAGATAGAGGCACAGGGAGAACACCAGTTGTGAACAGGTGAGGAGACTAGAGCGATGTATCCACAAACCCAGGAATGCCAGAGACTGTTGATAAGCACCTGAAAACAGGGAGAGGCAAATAAAGCTTTTTCCCTAGATCTTTTCAAGGGAATATATTCTGCCCACACCTTAACTTCAGATGTTTGGCCTCCAGAATTGCGGAAGAACAAAGCTGTGTTGTTTTAAGCCACCCAGTTATTGGTAATCTGTATGGAAAATCTAGGAAATAAATATACTGATAAAGAATGACTGAATTGTTACAAAAAAGGAAAGCTACCTTGAAAGAATTCTCTTATTTCTTCTTTCCAATCCTGATCTTCTCATCCCAATTAACATATACCCTTAAACTTATAAAAAGAAATGTTCAAAACTGCTCCTCCCATCTGGTACCTGCAGGTCTTAATTTCTAGTTTTATCCAGATACTATATTTCTAAAGCTAAAAGATAATTTATTTTTAAGAAATACTTAAATTGTAGACAAATATAATATTTTTCTTTTTACTCACAAGTTTAATCCCTGAAAAGAAAATTCCCATTTTTGGCTATTCATTTTTACTAAGTTTTCTCGTTCATATATACACCTACACATATAAATAATTGCTTCTGTGAGATTTTAAGAAAAGACTCTTTTTGTGTACAAAGAAAATGAATCACTATAAAGTCAGGGTTTCGTCTGAAAACTAAACAGCTACAGTAGAATTAATATGTTAATCGGAATATATGTTGCAATTTCTGTGCTTTGGAAAGGTTTAAATTTAACTTTTGGAAGAAATCTTAGAAGAGAATATTATCACAACCCTTTCCATTTATCCCAGTTGAAAATCAAAGCAAAAAGCATATGTTGTGAAATTATTTCTATTTATAGTTGGAAATTTCTAAAATGCTTATGTTTCAAAAACATGTTCATATTTTAAATATTAGTATTTCAAAGATATGGTGTCATACTCATATATTCATATAGAGGTTAAGGTAACAATCAAAAATTCTATTAAATTCTGTTAAAGAGAATTGACAATCTGAAAAAAATTACAAATTTTCTTACTACTATTTAAAACTTTTCATGAAAAGTTTTATTAATTATGTCCCTGCCCACATTTATAAACAGATATATATTTGTCTATGTATAATGTAAACACACATTGATAAAGAGAGGGAATTTAAAAATACACAAGGAAAATGAAATATGAACAAACTAATTTCTGAGGAGGGTAAAAAAGCCATCAATTTTTTTTTTTATTTCCATCAGTATCTTACTGGTATTTATTTATTTATTTGGATATATCATCTTTCAAATAAATTCATATATATCTTAGTATCAAGGTATCTAAATGCATAATGATCACCAATATCCCTTTAAAAAAATAAATCCTTGCAAACAGATGTTTTAGAAAAAAACTTGTCTCTCAAATATTTGTTCTAACTTTGGAAATCTGACTGAATATAGAACTTAAAATTGTTTGTTAAAATTCAGTTTTATTTTAGAAGTAAACGTATATAGGCATATTTTTCAAAGGATCCAAAATTAATAGCCCATTATGATATACAAAAATTATATACTAATAGAACTTAGATTTTTAAGAAAATTACCTGATAGCCATTTAGGTCAGTATAAAATCTATTTTGGCTGTTTATTTCAGAAGAAATTCTCATTGCAATCTCACGGTTATATACATTTCGGATGTTTACAATATTAGAAATTTCCACAGAGCGCCCTTCTATTCCTATATTTAAAAGAAGAAAAAAAGGCACACATTTAAAAAAAGACAATTATTGCCCAGCTTTTCTTAAATATAGTGTAGAGAAAGTCTTCCAAAGTTACATACTGTTAGGGTTTGAATATAAGGTATCCCTGTCAAAGCTTTTGTGTTAATGAAGTAATGTTCAGAGGTAAAAGTATTAAATTATGAGATCTGTGAACTAACTGGTGGATTAATCCACCTAATGGATTAATAATTTGAATAGACTGGGTGGTAACTGTAGGCAGGTGGGTTGTGGCTGGAGGAAGTAGGTCACTGGGGGTACACCTCTGGGGTTTATATTTCCCTGTCACCTAGCTGGTGCAAAGGTGTGAGCTCTGGCTCACTTGCACTCTCTTTCTCTCTCAACCTCTCTCTTGCCCTCCCTCTTTCTTGTTCTCGCCCTCTTGAGCTCACTCTGCTTCCTTGCCCGACTCTTCTGCCATGTTTCACCTCACCTTGGACCCAGAGCAATGGAGCTGGTCAACAATGCCTGAACCTCTGAAACCGAAACCGTGAGCCAAAACAAACTTTTCCTCCTCTAAGTTTCTCTTATCAGGTACTTTGGTTATAGTGATGAAAAGCTAACTAAAACACAACTATCTGTTTTCTATTTCATATCTTTACGTACTAAATGGTGTCACTATTTATTTTTTCTCTTCCTTAATGTTAGATTATAGATAACATTTATTCAGGGGCACATGCTATTCAACAAAAGGATAAGGAAGTTGTAATAATATAAATGCAGATGACATATAACATATCACTGATAATCCAAGGAGTTCTGAGGGGAAGGAGGACACTAAATGAGAAAAGGTTGACCCCACTCCAGGCCAATCCACCTCTCACCTGTACCCCTATTTCCATGAGACACATTGTAGGCTCATTTCTCCACCTTCCTCTACTTACACATGAGAAATATGACTTAGTGAAATTTACACTCTGGTATGGTTCAAGAGACAGTGTATTTATTATTGTCTACAATCTACTTCTAGGCAAAGAGACAGCAGATCCAATGAGCTGATTTATGAAACCAATATTAACATATTAGTATTTGTGGACTACAATCAGCAGAGCTCCCTAGAAGTCAAATCAATTTTAATTGAGTTTGGTATCTCTTAGGACCCAATATTATGGGGTGATCAATTCTACCTTTTGCCACAAAAAGCAGAGGACAGCTTGAAAAAGTCCCAAATAAATCAAACTTAACGTGTTTGCTAGTATCATTCTATGCAAACTGTGTCATGAAGTCCTCAATGAAGCCTCAGGTCAATTTCAGTGATAGAGGAGTTGTAAGGAAATCCAACATGCTCAACACAGATGGTGAATATATCACAAGATCTTCTGAAGAGCAATTAGGGAAGGGGTTGTAAGGAGAGAGACTGCCCTATCTTACTTCATAAAACTGACATTTTGAAGTTCTAAGAATCCTGGAAACTTACCCATAGCTTTACTTCTCCCTACTACTCCTCACACACTGTTACTCTGTGCTGATAAGCAGCAAACTTTTTAAACAAAGAAAGCTGTAAAAAGAAAAACAGGGAGAGGAAGAACAGCATAAGGAAGACTTCTTAAGAGCTAAGAATTCCCATAGCTTATAGAAAGTGACAGCAAACAATTAAGGAAAGTGAGCTTGACTCTGTGGAATCTATGGAAACAAATGTAAATCCAGCTAATCCAAGTACTACAGGTGTCTGTGGAAAAATACACTGGAAATTATAAAATATAAATAATAATATATGGTGATAAGTAGTGCTCAATGGGCTGAAGCCTCTATTTATTGAATCTGCAGAATGCTCACAGAATTGCTGTTCCAACTTAGCTACTTCACTGGACCTAGCTTAGGTTTCCTATTACACATTCATAAAACTACTAGGAGCTAGGCACAGTGGTGCACATCTGTAATGACAGCAAATGGGAAGGCTGAGGCCCTAAGCAAATTAGCAAGCCCCTGTCTCAAAACAAAATATAAAAATAAAAAAAAGTTGGGGATGAAACTCAGGGGGAAAGTGCTTCCTGGGTTAAATCCCCAGTACCCCAAACAAAACTATTTTGAATGGAAAAAAGGGGATGCCCCCCCCACTTTAATGGCCACAGCATGAACCACTAATCTGCAAGTTAAATATATACATATATTTTCTTCTGAGAATTATTAAAGGAACCTGTAAAGACAGATGATCCAAACATCTCCACCATTACTGGAAAGTTAAAAAAATCACATAATACAATATAATTTTCTTTGAACTAGGAAATATTGCTCTAAATACAAACTTTGCTTTTATTATGTTTATGTTAACTAGAACAATTTTAAAAGTTTAAATAAAATGTATATGGAATTTTAATAGATAAGTGTTTACAAGGAGTCAGGTTGTAACTCAATGGCAGAGATCATGCTTAGGCTGCACAAGGCCTTGGCACCAGAAATGATAGCACTCATGTATCACTAAAGACCATAGAAGATGACAAGAAGTTAACTTTAATCTAGCGGAAGCCATTTATAGGTTTTAGCATTGTGTTTTCTTTTCTCTAGAGAGAATATTCTCTCAGGGGTCAACAGAATACATGAAATGAAGGAAGTCTTAACAAGGGAGAACATCGTTAATTTAAATTCACGTAACTCCAGAAAACATTTACAAAGAATGTGCTTCAAGGAAAAATTAATAATTTCACATTACCTCTGGCAGTAACAAATTATTTCCATTGAGAAAGTCATCTTTCTCAAGCTCAATATTACACTCAGATCCTGCTATGGCAACAAATTCTTAAAGCTGTTTAAAAGGAGCTCTATGTCCATTCACAACTCGACAAGACATTAAATTCTGAGCCAGGACAGACTTTTAAAATAAGATCAAACTTAATATGCTTATTATGAACAAAACAAAACCTAAAATAGCAGTAAAAGCAAGAAGGTATCCCTGAGTTCTCAAAGAGAATTGATTATATTTTAAAAAACAGTATGTGTTAGAGAGACTTCCAATTTTTGCCTTTCTGTGTTCACATTCCCCTAAAGAAGCCTGTGGGATGCCTTTGCTAAAGAAGCCTGTGGGATGGAAGGGAGAACTTCCCTGGGAGCAGGAATACACACCATGGGACCCAGTGGTCACTGGATCTCTGCAGCATGTGACAGCAAAAGTGCTGAGTTATGGTTTAGATACAAGGTTTCCGCTCAAAACTCTAATGTTCATGTAGGAATGTTCAGAAGTGAAATTATTAGATTATGGGAGCTGTAACCTAATTGGTGAATTAATTGATTTGATGGATTAATAATTTGAAAAAACTACTGTACTGGGTGAAAACTTCAGGCAGGGGTGGGCATGGCTGAAAGAGGTACATCACAGGGGAGTGCCCTTGGAAACTGTATCTTGTCCCCACCCCCCACGCTCTCTGTTGCCTGCCTGCCACAGTGGAGCAGCTTTCCTCTGCCACACTCTTCCACCATGATGCCCTACCTCAACTCCAGCCCAAAGCAATGGAGACAGCCCAAAGCAATAGAGTCAGCCTAGCATAGACTGAGCCCTCTGAAACTATGAGCCAAAATGAACTTCTCATTCTCTAAGTTGCTGGTCGTGTATTTTGATAATGGTGACAAAAAGCTGACTAACAGATGTTGCTTTTACCAAAATGGTTCACTCTGGGCCTGGGTACCCAGGACTGCCTAGACCCTTCTGGATTTTCTGCAATCCTGGGAAAGGAAGTGACTCTTACTTTATATAGATTAGTCCATTGAGGGGAGAGAAGAATGAAGCCATTACATTGATTTATATATGAGAAGTAAGTGCCCTTCTTGCTGTTAATACCTGCCCTTCTGGAGAAGAGAGAATGAAGGTAGTTTATTCTTGCTAATATAGACAACGAAGGGCAAGAGACAGTCCACAGTTGAAAACTTGCAAAAAAAAAAGAGGCCAAGAAAGTACCATTCCACTAAATTCTTCTATATATGCTGTAGATTCTAGTCTCCACTCTGGAACTGGGGCTATTGTTTTACTTCCTAGAGCCTGTTAAGTTCTCATACACAGAGACTTTCCTACACAGCATCTTTACATTCTAGGTCTTAACATTCTGGCCACATGAATGGCTAAATCACCATTAAACACAAATAGCTAAGATGCAAGAGAGCCTGTCCTTCATCACATAGAAATTTGCTGACACGGAAGGAAAGCAAACTGCTATGAGTAAAGTTTAAGCAGCTGGGAAGATGAAGGAATAGGATTTTCATTGTGAGCAAATGCATGCAGATTAGAACACAAGCTCCTCAAACACAGGGATCATGTCTTATTTAGCTCCCAGCGCACAGAAGGTATACAACAAGTGTCTGTGGAGCGAAGGGTGGCAGCTAAGATGCAATGAGAGTAGCTCTCCATTGCTGATGCTTACTATGTACCATATGCTAACCAGATGCTTTATATACTTAATCCTGGTCCTAAGCCTAGGAGGAAATCACTTGCCCAAGCTTATGAGGCCGGCAGCAGCAGCACCTAAATGTTTCAGGCATTATGCCTCACTGGCAGAATGACTGGAGAAAGCTAAATTTACTCTGAGACCAAGTACTGGGAAAGGCTTGCAGCAACTCTTGAGTAGAAAGATGTCCAAATTTAATGAGAGAGAAAGACAGAAAGGGTGTTGAACTGGAATCTTATATACTATATCAGCTGTTTAATTGAGTAAAATATAATTAAGGTGTTACAAGGCTTGCCCAAACGTCTCTGAAAGAGCCCCAAACTCTTATCAAAAATTAAGAACACATGCTCTATTACACAGCAGTTCCTCCTCACTGTTTCTAGCTGAGGTGAGCACAGTTGTGCACACAGGAAGCAAGTTACCAGCATACTTGCTGTGTACTACTGCTAAGAGGAAAAACTGGGAAAATATTCTAGATATCTATCAAGAAGGAAATGAAAAAATAAGATCAGGTATAACCATGCTATGGAATGCTGTGTAGCAAATGAAAACAATGAGGTAGATGTCTGTTCTGGCAGAGAAAGAGA